CCAAGAAAAAAAGGCCTAGATTTTTAGTCACCTCCACCTCTATGTTAATAACCATTTACAGATCAGCTTTCTTCTCAACTTCATGTGTTTCATCCAGCATAATCACATCTTCCTCTTCATTTTCAACTTCCAAATCTTCATCGAGAGGTTTCATTCTATAGGTCCTTTTTCTTTGATTGACCTTAGTTCCTTTAACCCAAACTTTTCCATTTCATCCTTTCTATTCCATTATTAGACCCCTCCTTTTCTTGCTTCTGCCCTGATGTAGCCTCATCATTGCTTACTTTCTTCCTCAAAACCTTCTCCACCCCTTCCTTTTCCTTTCATTCCAATCTCACCATAGTGTTTTCCTTTTCACCAGTAAAAATCACATGAGAATCTCTTCTATTTTCTTCACCTTCTTGTTGTAATCCATTGTCACCAGGAGAAACCTGTGTCTCACCCAACACCTCAGCTGCTAGTCCCTCGTTCCTTCCTGCTTCGACCCCCTAAATATCAACTGACATGAGCCTGCATGCTAAAATCCCCAAATCCTCCCACAGATGTCTAATCGAAGAGGAAGATGATGGACCAGAAGAAGCATCTATCAATGCCCCTCCCAAATCACCCACTTGATTACTTAAAAGCCCATGCTACTCCTTTATATTTGATGGCTTACATGCAGCTGACCCATAATCTTTATCCAGCTCAACAACTATGGGCTTCACTGCAATAGACCCAACTAACTCCATTGAAAATCCTCCCATGTGACCACATAAGCCATCACGTGGAGTGACTTGATCCAGATCAAACACCCGATTGGATCCATCAACCCAACCCACCTCCAATTCCTCTCCTTGTCTCTTAGACTTCTCGTTTGACCCTTGAACCTCTTGCACGTGCTCAGGAGCATTAAATTCCATTTTTTCACTGCACACTTGAACAAATTATTGGGTTTTTAACCCGATGTCTTCAATTCTTCTCAAGAAACCTTCCCCTCCCAACTAATTGTTTGTTCCCACCTCATCTCTTTTTTCACATGTGTCATCCACCATGCCCCATCAGCGTAATCTTCAAACTTTCTTCCACAACACCAAAGTGTTGCTTCAGCTTCTGTTGCCACCCACTCTTTCCTCCAAAAAACTTGAAGAAACAAATCAATAGATCGAGGAATGGCCTCCGGATTTAAACCTGTAATTTTTGTTGCATGACACATTCAAAGCAGCCAAAACTACCCTGCAAGAAGTCCAGTGACTTAAAAGGCGTGCCTCAGGTGCGCCTAGGCGCACAGGCAAGGCACATTTCAGGGTAATGTGCCTCGCCTAGGTCCTAGGTGCAGCCCTTTCAAAAGGTGCACGCCTGGTGCGCCTGATGCGCCTTGCACCTCAGCTCAGGCATGCGCCTTTCAAAAATTTGGTAATGTTGTTCATCCTAATAAAATGTCTTATTAAAAAGCAATTAAAACTATAAAATCATTTATGTTTTGTGTGGAAACTAAGAATTTAAGACCTAACGTGGACTTGTTTGGGCTTGCCTCGAGAGGTGTGGCACAAAGGCGGCTTGTAGAATCAAGAATGTATTATGTTTTACATTACATTAGCTACTTGAAGTAATGCAATTGAGTGAAAAATAATGATTAGAGGTTTTACATGCTTGAAAATGTTTGATATGTTTGATTTTATTTTAAATTCTCATTTGAATATATTTTACATCTTATGTTTATGTATTTTAATTTTAGATAATAGGTTTTTTAAAACATTATTTTAAAATTTAAGTTTATATTTTTTATTAATATTATGTTTAATATTTATTGATTGTTTTTTTAATGTTTTGGCTTTTTTTTAATTTTCTGACATTTTTTTTGTATTTTTGTGCCTTGCTTTGAAAAGGCGTGCACCTCGCCTTGCGCCTCAAGCACAAATTGACCCATGCACCTTTTTTGCGCCTTACACTTTTAAAACATTGAAGAAGTCACAATCTTGTCCAAAACTGATCGGTCCAAAGACTGAAAGGGAGTCCTAGAATCTTCAACAACAAGGTTCCATCCATTTGGTTTTGTGAATTGCAAGATGGGGTCCAATTTTCCACCATAACAAGACCTTCCTTGGATTCAAAGGAGCACAAACTGGGTTGGGTCTTACCAGCATCCAAGATTGTTTTGTTCATTTCAAAAGGTATGAGGATAGTAGTCTCTTTCAAGTCCAACTTGCTTGCCACCACATCCAGAATTGGTTGCCAATCTTTAACATCTTCCTTGGTTGAGACCATGGTTTAAAGTATTGATACACCCGATACGCACGAATAGGCATATTGAGTGTTTCGATACTTCATAACTTTTTTTAGTTTTTTTTTCAAAATTATTTCAGGGGTCACTTTTAGGCATGCCTACCCCCTTGAAAGTGGCCAAATCAGAGATTTAAAAGGCACGCCTAGGCACACAGGTGAGGCGCATTTTAGGGTTCTCGCCTCGCCTAGGTCCTAGGGGCAGCCCTTTCAAAACACGCATGCTTGGTGCACCTAGGTGTGTGCCTGATGCGCCTTGCACATCCGCCCAGGCGTGCGCCTTTTGAAAATTTGACGTTTTTTTGCTTTTTTTGAACATAGCGACTAGGCCAAGGGCTCCACCCCCAGACCCCCATGCCACGCCCCTCAAGGCAAGCCCAAACAAGTCCACATTAGGTCTTAAATTCTTAGTTTTCACACAAAAAATGGCGACTTTATAGTTTTAACTGCTTTTTAACAAGATATTTTATTAGAATGAATGAATGAACAACATTACCAAATTGGGGGTTCTCGGAGCTTCGGTGTGCGAGTGAAGCAAGCGAACCGAAGTGGACTTGTTTGGGCTTGCCTTGAGGGGTGTAGCACAAAGGTGGCTCATTCATTCATTCTAATAAAATATCTTGTTAAAAAGCAATTAAAACTATAAAATCATCATTTTTGTGTGAGAACTAAGAATTTAAGACCTAATGTGGACTTGTTTGGTCTTGCCTTGAGGGGTGTAGCACAAAGGTGGCTCATTCATTCATTCTAATAAAATATCTTGTTAAAAAGCAGTTAAAACTATAAAATCATCATTTTTGTGTGAGAACTAAGAATTTAAGACCTAATGTGGACTTGTTTGGGCTTGCCTTGAGGGGCGTGGCACAAAGGCGGCTCGTAGAATCAAGAATGTAATATGTTTTACATTACATTAGCTACTTGAAGTAATGCAATTGAGTGAAAAAGGAGATTAGAGGTTTTGCATGCTTGAAAATGTTTTATATGTTTGGTTTTATTTTTAAATTCTCATTTGGATATGCTTTACATCTTATGTTTATGTATTTTAATTTTAGATAATAGGTTTTTTAAAACATTTATTTTAAAATTTAAGTTTATATTTTTTTATTAATATTATGTTTTTTGAATTTTTTGGCTTTTTTTTTTTTTGAATTTGCTAACATTGTTTTTATTTTTTAGCTTTTTTTTGTATTTTTGCGCCTTGCATCAAAAAAGCGCGCGCATCACCTTGCGCCTCAGGCGCAAATTGACCCCTGCGCCTTTTTTGCACCTTGCGCTTTTAAAACACTGGGCCAATTTCCAAAATACCCCTTATTTGGGGTTTCAACGAGCTATCGATACAATACGATACACATGATGCGGGGCGTATAGTATTAAAATTTTGAACCTTGGATGAGACTACCATTTTTTCTCCCACTCCTCCTTCCCTCCATTCACAATCAACTTGGAATCCATCACAAAGCTGACTAATGGAAACTCCAATTCCTTCCTTTTTGTTTGAGTTCTCCATCGGATGCCATGACTACCTCCTCTCTACCGCCAGTATCCTACTTAGTTTGCTTTTTCTCTAACGCCTTCTCTTTCCTTGAGAGAAAGTCCGTAACAATTTTGCTATGATTTTTCACCCATCTCTATTTCTACCTTTGGGAAATAGGTTATCTATCGTCGACCATTTCCATATTGTTCTAATAACATCAAGAACCAACCTTTCAAGTTTTTCCTCTGCTCCACCTGGTAGAGTCTTCCTTCCATCTTCATGGTGCTCCTCCAACCTTGTGTTTTCACCAAAAAGACTACTCCATCTACAAAACCTTTCAACCAACTTGTTGCTTCATTAACAATGAACTCATTTGCTCTCCTTCCTTCTCTAACCTTAAAGGATTCGTTGCCTCCAAATCTAGTCTCCTCAAGCAGAAACATCTTTGCCTCGACCCACACTGCTTTCCTCCATTTACTATATAATGCTAATACTTGCCTTGGCATCATGTCAAGATGACCACCCCAAAACTTTAGTCCATTTATTTTCCTCTCTCCACTACCTCCTCTCTCTTTCCTCTTGCATGTGCAAATGTACATGCCACTCAACCACTAATCATAAGGTGTGGATAAGCTTAAATCGAACCAAATCATGAATCATATTATAAATCCTAAGAGCAGTTCCATCTTTTAAAATATTAAATATAATTAAGTTTGACTTTAAAGAGATTTAATCCACATACAGTTTTTCTTTAATCAAACTATAATGAAAAATAAACCCAAGAAGGTCCTTAAATATTCTTAAATTACCCAAATATGTCTTATATTTGTAAGGATTTTAAAACAATGGTCCCTTAGACAATCTTAAAAAGTAAAGAAATTAAAAAAGTACAAACTTAGGTTCTAATCCAATTGTTTCATATTGTGTGAATGGTAAATGGTAAATTGTAAGATTCACAAAATAAATAATAAGATTCGAATAATGATTGCAGGATTTTTCAAAAAAAAAATGATTTAATGATATAATTTGAATGGAAACCCTTGAAATTTATGACTTGAATCATGAAGCATAAGGTAAATCATGAGATTTTAACAACATTAGAAATAAAACCCAGAGACCATGTTGTTGATTAATAACATCAAAAACTGACTTAGAAACAAGGTCATGCCAATCATAGAGAAATGCTATCTGGAGTTCAATGGTGGCTAGCACAACGATTTTAAATATCAAAATTGATAGAGAAATTGATGCTGTAATTACATACTTCGCCTGCTTTAACAGTGATGATATGCGGAGTAAAAGCAATTCCAGGAGCCCCTATCACATAATAAACTCATAAACAATCTATCTTATGAAAATAATATATATATATATATATATATGCACAACGATAAATCAATAAATGAATCCAAAATGAAAACACAACTTACCCAGAGCATCCATCTGTTGCTTCTTTCCTGAACCTGGAGGGCGCCCTCTGTTCTTCTTATATGGTGGTTCAGCAGATGACGGTGTAGTCGACTGTGCCGGAGCCACTGAAGACAGAGGGGCTAATGCCAATGCCATTATGCTACCGTCAGGTCCATATTTCCTCGGTCTTCCTCTTTTCTTCTTCATTGGCTCACCCATGTTAAACCCACATGGTCTCAGACTCTCTGAAGACCCATCGGTATGATACAGCAAGCTGGAAGAATCTGAAGGTCTTGAAACAGAATTCATCACCGAATTGAAAGGAAGACGCATGTTCTGCATCAACCCTGCAGAGTTGGGACTGAGCATCGAACCATTAGGTATGCTCAACCCATATGGATTGGGACCCACTATCATACCATGAGTTTCAGATGAAGCTAATCTTGTAGCTTCCCGGGCATCCATTCACAGAATTCAAATAAAACTAGCAAGAGAAAGATATAAAACTTCTAATTTACTTGTGATCTTTCACATCAACCAAACTGTCGACAAACCTATTCAAATGCATCAAATATATTAGAAAAAAAACGCATTGTTTTTTCTTATTTTTTCCTGATCGAAATCTATTCAAAAAATAAAAATAAAAAAAAAAAACGAAGAAAAATTAAAGTGAAGTAAATGAGAAAATGGCGAAAAAAAACCCAGTAAGAAAATAACGGAGGAAAAAGATAAAGAAATGGCACCTGATCAGGTGGTGTGTGAAATGTTGAAGAGATTTTTAGGGTTTAAAGCAGGAGAGACGTCTCCGATTTGGGGTTTAAACGAGTTTCTCGCCTTTCTTCTTTTGGCCACCGACCATTACCTTCCCTGGATGGAAAAAACATGCGGGATATGGTAATCATGATTTTATTTCAATCTACGTAAATAAAATTATATTTTATGCTTTTTTATCCCTTTGCATTTTTTTCTTGTGTGAATTGCTTTCAAAGCCTTTTTGTTTTCTATACAAACACTTTACGTTATTTTGCTTTTCTATTGATATTTTTCATGTTAATACAAATATATATAAATACATATTTACTTTTTTATTAAATATAATATAATAGCAATATAAGGTTCAACTTTATTTTCCTGGTTTTGTTTTGTTATTGTTGTCGTTTAGGTGGTTTTACTTTCCCTCCTCAATTGAAGGTTCAAATGTCAAGAAATGGTCACGTGCTAGGAATTGGAGCTAGTAAAAAGTACACATTAAGGTGGTGTTTGGCATTGTTGCTTTTAGTGTGATTGTTTTTGTTTCAGTGTCCTCAAATTTGACCGCAAGCTGTGAAGCTGAAGATGGGCTAACTTCTTCGTAAGAGTAGATAATCAGTTCAAACCATATGATGACACTATAATCATTAGAACAGGAACAGCTAATCTCCTCCCATATATTATTAATCTACCAAAGAGACTCAAGGGTGCAATTTGGATTGGGCTTGGGTCTTTGGACCGGGACCACTCCAATTTTGACAAAAGCCCAATCTGAGCTCTCACAAATTGCACCATCCACCCGTACGGACAGTAGGGAGGATCATGGGCCAGGTTTCTACAAGGTAATAAGAACATTTTGGTCTGCCTGGAGTTGATAAATGAAAACATCTGTCCAGGCCCAGGCCCGGCAAAAAAAATTATATTTTAATAAAATATAAACTAGCCTTGGCTTGGGAAATAAACTTCTGCCTGAGGTAGGAAATTCCGGGGATGGATGTCGTGAAAAGTGCGGGGTCAAGTAAAAATAATCATTCTTGAGAAGGAGTTGGGGTGGAGGGAGAAGAGAGAAAGGTTGGGGGAAGGAGAAGGAGATGATAATAGCAGCAGTTGATGGTGATGGTAGTACTAGTTGTGGCGGTGGTGCTTTGACAGTTATAGCAGGGCCACTGATGATTCGATAATAATAGTAATTGCCGCTAGGGCACTTTGTAATATTGGCTATGTTTGGTTCAGTGGATTTTAATATTTATCAAATAAATATTGAAAAAACAGAAATGCTTGGATTTATATTAGGGCATTTAGGGGTACAAGATGGATTGGTCCAAAGTTAACAATTTTACATTGTTTCAGCTTGGGCTATTAAAATTTTCACAAAATCCCAACCCTAATACGCAAAAGTTGTACCCCTAATTTATGTGAATGAGCTGTTGGGAGAAGTTTCAAATTCTGGTTTCTCCTAACAGCCCAATGTTGACTTGTTGCATTGTAAGCTGGGGCGGAAGATAGCTTTATCGGGTGTTACTTGAAACGTCAAATCAAACAACAAAAAACATTTAAAGTGACGTTTTTTAATAAAGTGTTTATCTGACAAACACCCCTCCAATAAACACCCATAGAACCAAACACATACATTAATTCCAAGTGCCCATTTGGGGGTTTTCTATATGTTTCTTTGCTTTTTTTGGTAAAAGTTTGGAAAGGCTAGATTGCAGCAGTTTCTAGCTTAGCTTTCTAAGGTGGGCCTTGTATAGACACCCTTAAGTCATGATTGGTAAAAATTTAAAGTCCTGACTAGTCATTTGAAGGATTTTCTGCTTTAGTCTCTTTGAGTAGCTTATCACTTATCAACAACTCAACCAATTTAATTTGTTGAATCTTTAGCTCAATCCTCCCAAACAGACACCAAATTACCAACAGCAAATTAAAGATGATCTGTGGTGATGGTGGGAGTAGCAATGGTGGGTCAATAGTGGTGATTGATTGGCAATAGCAAGTAGGGGTGCTAAGCAACAATTGAATAATTGAAACAAACCAAGAAAACAAAACTAAAAATTCTAATTAATTGAATCGAATTGTTTGGTGTTTTGTAAAAATCGGTGGTACTAGTTCGATTTTTAGTTAACTTAAAAAGAAAACGATGGTTAACTGAACCAGTTGATATATATATATATATATATATAATTATACATTTATAATAATCTATATATTAAATATGTTTAAATAAATTATATATTATATATTTTTAGTATTTAAATTATATATTTATATATTTTTAAGTGAAACTTCACTTACCCCCACCTAACAAATTCTAACTTCACGATATAGTCAAGGAATAGTGGCAACAAAATTGATGCCAATACAAGGGGGTATTAGGGTTTAGTTGGGGTATTGGAAGTTGAATTGTTGTAGGTGTATAGTGGAATTAAAACTTTTGATGTGGGTTTCAATGAGGTTTTTGAAAATATAAAAAAAACGAAAAACTAAAGAACCATACCAATAAAAAAACTGAACCAATCAACCAATTAACCGATTGGTTCAATTCATTTTTTTTTCAAAAATGGATGGTACTGGTTCAGTTTAAAATGAGCACCCCTAGTAGCAATAGTGGTGGGTCAATGTGACAACTTATGTTGTGCACATTGTTTGCTTGCTTAAGAAGAGGGAAGTTATATATGACTTGTGTCTTGGTTTTGAATTATGGATTGTGGTTTGTGTTTGTGCACAGGTTGAATGATTCATTGATTTAGGGGGTGTTCTATAGTGTGGTTAGAAAATTGGGTGGTGTATTCTCAAAATACACCACACTAGGGTAGGATAGGTGTTCTTACAGTTGTCAAAATTTGGTAGCATAAAATCTAAATCACACGACATCTACATAGGTGTTCTACAAGGTGTGGTGTGGTGTGGTTTAGGCTACACCCTATATTTCGGTTCTGTGTATTTCATATACACAATGTGAGGTGATTTACGCCATTGATCAAGAGTAATGTTTTTTGGCATTTTTAAGCAAAATGAAAATCAATAATATGAATCAATTTAACATGTGATAAAAAATTAATAGTAACATAATTAAAAAGTTTAAAAAATAAAAAATTTTAAATTTTAAAAATTTTAAAAAGTTAATATTAATATTAATACACCACTAATAATAAAAATTAAAAAATAAATAATACTAATAATAAATTTAAAAAACTAATATTAAACAAAAAATTAAAAGTATGGTAAATTACAAAGACCCCCCCATACTATGGGGTCTGTGACAAAGACCCCCTACACTATGGCCATGAGACAAAGACTCCCTTCCCAGTTAACTCGGCTAACAGAAGGTGTCATTTGATGAAAATACCCTCCGCAAGTTGAGTTAACATTTTCAAAATGACGAAAATCGACACCCACCCATTATTTACTATTTTCGAATAGATTTCACATTTGTCCTAAACACTACTTGAAACCTAGCCAAAAACCCTTATGTAATCCATCCCAAATCATCTATGTCCGTTCTCCATCGAAGGTCGCACCAATACCACACTAAACGTAGAAGAAAGCAAGTGTCATCATCGTCGAAGAAGAATATCTTGTCGCCATCGCCAGAGAAGAAGGCCTCTTTTTGCCATCGCAAGGGGAGAAAAGCTTATTTTTTCACCATCTCTAGTCAAGTGAAGGTAACAATACAAAACAAAAGATAAAAATATCGTTTTGTATGAATATAGGGTTTCATTTTGAACTGAACATAGGATTCTTCGATTTTCCTCTACTATAGTTGTTTGTGCCTATTATTTACTCGAATTCTTCAATTTTGTCTAAAGTGGGTGTTTCATATTAGAGTACTCTTCTTGATGTTTGTGTTTAGGTCTCTCTGCAGCAATTGTTTATTGTCTTTGATTTAATGTGTTTAATGTGTTTTAACAATTAATGTGTTTGTATGTTTGATCCCAACAAAATAATGTTTTGGTTCACAATTTTTTAGTGGTTGCTTTTGACATATGTTTATTAACCTTGGGTATATTTTGTATCATAGTAAAATCAATTGTAGAGAGGGATACATGGCTTTAGGTATACCACTCATTTATTGTTACCTTTGGGTATTTAATAGGTCTTTGTTGTTGGAACTTGTGAGTCAATGGTCTATTAAAGGTCTTTAGATATCCATTTTATTACCATTCTTGTCTCTTCGTCCATGTCAACATGAGAGCTAGAGGTTCTGTCCCTTTTTCAAAGAAGAAAAAGTAGGGATGCTTTGTCCCTTTTATGTTCTCTTTTTAGAACAAGAATCTAGGGGAAGGGTCTACACCCCATTTTTCATCTTGCCTTTTTTTGCTAATTTGTTGAGTACTTAATTATATTTTGCTTCCCTTAACCTACACAAGATCTTCTTGGTGGGTTTAGAAAATTAGCTTGTGGAACCCCCTACAAGGAGACATATTCACAACATTTAAGTGGGGGAAAATGGGGCCAAGAGTAGAGCATTACAAACTTTGTTTATGCTTTCTAAGAAGTTAAAACCTCTCAAAGAAGTAATTTAAACATCAAGATTCAAAATTTATGGAAAAAAAATTAAAAATTTTGTTGTATATAAAGTTCTTTGTGGGGGGAAATGGGGCCAAGAGAGGAGCATTACAAACTTTGTTCATGCTTTCTAAGCAGTTAAAACAAAAGCACTATGAAGGTGATAATTCCTAATGAAACATCTAGGCATTAATGTCAGGAGAACCTACGTGTTTATTTCAATGTTATCTTTGTTCAACATTCTTTTTATTGATCCTGGACATCTTTAATTCTTGATTTGTTCTTTTGAAATTAACACATAGTTTATTTTATTTGCTTCTTTTACTTCTATTATAAACTATTTCAGTTACGTAAAGGGGAATAACATAGTTATCTTGGCCCATTAAGTGCCAAGTGTTCCTCTATCATAGATTGTATTAATGAATTGCATCTAGGTGACTATCCAAATCCTTATTATGAATTTGGTAGCAACGTGACAACCTTGTGCTTTTAGCAACTGAAGTACATAATTATGTTAGCTACCAAGTTGGCTAAATTATACACTAGAATTGAAATTGGATTTATTGGAATTAAAGCATGAAAGCTTAATAACAATATTATTTTTCTTTTGTATTTGACAGATACAAAGTAATCTAAATACTATTGCAAATGCTTACCGAATGTAAAATGTCGTAATAGTTTATGA